TCCCTGTCGAATCTTCTTCTTACATCAGATTTGTACATGCCATCTTCTTTTTCCGTTATTCTTTTTCTCCCTTCATTTTTATCTATTTCTTTCAACATAGTTTTAGAAGATCTACTCCATGGCAAAATATACTCCAACATATGGGTTCCGGATTAGACAGGCCGCAGCATCTCAAAGCTAGGAATTCCTCCAACGCCACAAGGAATTCCATGTGCTGTCGTAGTAGCAAGAGCAGAGACCAGAGGTGGAGGAAGGCAACTCAAGCTGTAAATTTCCAGCTTGTATGTCGTCTGATAACTTAGGTAGTAGCATCTTGTATGTCATGGAAAGGACAAATCTAAAGCTGAAAGAATGGTTATCTTTTCTCACCATGTAAATATGTAATAGATTATGCCTAGGCGCATTATTCTTCGTAAAATCGGTAGATTAATTGGAAGAGATATCCAGGGTTTTAAGTCTTTCTGAGACATACAAAATGGTTTTTTTGGTAGCAAACATTGTCTATGTAACTTGTAAACTGTAACTTATATCCTCCAATTTGACTAGGAATGTTTTAAATAAACTCAATAAATGTTACCTATAGGCCATGCATATAAATATAGAACTTTAAGTAAGCTTTTACACGCAGTTAATATAGTATATTTCCCAAACTCTACACCCATAAGATTAAAATTCAACACAATAACATTAAATTATGAAACAAAATCCCCTTAAATGTGAAGTAAATTTACCAGAAAAAATATCTTCACTAATATTTATGACGCGAGATGCTTTGCTGATACCACCCCTAGTTATATGGAATAGTCTATCAAAGACATCTGGATGACCATAATGCATACGAACCCTGATGATCATTTCAAATACAAGTTAGACATACTTTTCTTTCATACTTCAATGATTACTCTATAAATGCCATGGAACAACAAATATTCACGATTAATGTGAACTCACTTCAAAGGATTTGCTAGAACACGTTGGCCAAGAGTCACAAAGCTAGATTCCTGATTAGACATGAAGGATGCTAAAGAAGAAACACTGAGAAGATGCACAAGTTTAAAGAGTCAGTAGCCTAAACAAATGAACTCTATAAGGGACAAAATGCCTCTAATACCATACCTTCCAGTAAACACATGCTCCGTAACACCAAGAATAGTAGGGGGGCGAACTCCATGGTCACGGTAAAATTCTTCAAGAAAATTTCTCACCTTCAAAGCCTCCTCAAAGTAATTATCCTGTCCACATACAAAGAGAAATAAATAAAAAAATATACTATCAATTTGCCCTGTAAATAACATTCAGGTCAATATCAATATAAAAACAAGTAGTCACCTGAATCATATCAATGGTCTGTATTGCATTTCCACGTGTAAATATAATAGCATGATTTTGATTTTCAGGTTTCCCTTCACCAAGCTTTGGATTTCCAGGCCATTTCACAGAATATATTTCCTGTAATGATTCTAACAGCAATTAAAACATTAAAGATGGCTGAAATGGCTACATTTGGCAAATTATTCCGATTTAGTGGAATCTTTCTGTTTATGGATTTTTCCTTGTTCCATTCCTCCAGATAACGTTGCCATGTAGGGGCTTTGATTTAAAAAAGCCATGGTTGTCGCGTCAGCAAGTCGCGC